TGAATAGCACTTCCAAAAGGAGTCTTAGGTCCATTGAACTTACACATCTGAAGTTATAATAGAAGCAAAATATAGTTAACATATATGTTTACAAACTGGAAATTACCATGTTTCTTGTATCTGCCTGCTACTCATTAAGATCCTTCCACAGAACAAGAGAGAAGTGCTGGGCCTAGAGCTGCAGGTATGCAATCCCAGCTACTCAGACGACTAAGCAGGACAGCAAGGTCCCCTGCCCAACTTCAAGAGACACTGACTCAAATCAAAAGTAGGCTCATTGAGTAAAGGCACCTGCCACCAAGCCTACCAACCTGAGTTTGATATCTGAACCCACATAATTGACAGAGCAGTTTTTTTCTCTTCTCTCCACACACATTCTGTGGTTTGCAGAGGAACACGCATACACACACACACACACACACACAAATAAGTAAACAAAAATGTAATGTACAGCATTTTAAATAGAATATAAAGAAGCTTGGTGATAGAACACTATACAACCTGTGACCACTTTGGTTCATTGAGAACAAAGTTGAACTGCAGAGGCTGAACCATTCACCATCAAGTATCTTACAGTTAACATTTGCTGAATTGGAACAACAACGTGAAGCCAATGTGTACATTTAAATACACACTGCAGCTCCTGTAATATTAGGGTTAAGGAGATTTGGGGAGCAAGGGTGGAGGGGCGCTTATGGGCTTAATTTAAGAAAAAGGGAAATCTGGAGTCCTTCTTCCTTCAGATTTTTCGATTGAGAACTGAATCCGGAACTCTGGGCTCTGCATAGAGAGGGAATTCTGTACATTCATTTGGTGCCTTTTGTCAGCCTTTCTCAAAAGCCAGAAAGTTTCAGTGCTAAGTACCTAGCGGTGTTCTTGCTGCTGTGACAACCAGGGCTCACATTCCAGCAGAGAACAGGATGCATGACAGTCCTCAAGACTTCCCACTTGATCTCCTGTGGGTCTTGGCCTAAGACGACTTTGTTAAGAACCTTCCGCCTCTTTAAAGCTTGTATCCTTTTCCTCTTTAAACCCTAGAGCCTGGCACTCATTAGCTAGCTTTCTCCACTTTGATTGCACACCGGTGTTCTCACACATGGAGGACGTAATGGTTTTCCAGTTTCCGTTCTGGGGGACATTTTGCACGCTAGTGCTCCTTCCCCTTTTTTTCAGTCTTGCATGTATAAAAGCAAATCATCTACCACAGTTAACTGCAGTAAAGGGTTTGAAGAGCCCCCCTTCCTTTCTCTCCTCCACAACTGGAAAATATGAGGCAGATCCTGTTTATGTATGTGTAACCTCCAAAGTAGCTGATATGCTGTTGTCATTAAAGAATCAGAGCTGTTTTTCCAGGAGCCCAGTGCAGGGCTCTAAATCTGAAAGCCCTCCTGGGCCCTGCAGGCAGACAAGAGACCTGTGTGGCTTTCCTAGGGCCACTCCAGATAGGCAAAGGTTCCTTCCAAGCCTCCTCACTGCACTCTAGGGATGACAAGATCTGAGTTGTGACTTTATTAAAAATTGAGACCATCTTCTTTTTGCATTAAATATTCTTTAAAATCTTTTCCAGAGGACTTTTCCACTCTAAAGTGTATCCTAAATGTGTATGTATACCTTCCTTCCACTGTTTGTTCTATGAGTCTCTTATCGCCGTCCAGAAATCCTTTTACAAAGTCGTCCTATAGCCAATATGTTTGGCAAGTTGTTTAAAAAAGAAAAAAACCTTTTTTCCCCTTAAAACAAGTGCAAACTGTACTTTGAAATGTATACTTTTTTGAAGTGTAGTTTTTAAGTTTTTTAAATCTTTTTTCTATGCCAAACAATTTTATTTTTCTTTTATAAAATGACTTTTTATAAGGCTTTGTTTATAACCTCTGTGTCTTTCATGATTTATTTCATTGGTTTTTATTGGTTTCTCTTTGTTTAGTTTGCCTTGGGGACAAGCCCAGATTCCCCTAACAGGGATATTAGTTGATAGAAATCATTGAAACCAGAAATGGACAGCCCTAAGCACTCCTTAGCCAGCTTTTGCTAGAATAGGCAACATTAATGCAACATGGTTACTTAACAAATAGCAGACTACCAGTAAACTGGTGTGTGAGTGTGTGTGTGTGAGTGTGGTGTGTGTGTGTGGTGTGTGAGTGTGTGAGTATGTGTGTGTGTGTGTGTGGTATGAGTGGTGTGTGTGTGGTGTGAGTGGTGTGTGTGGTGTGTGTGTGTGTGTGTATGTGTGTGTGTGTGTGTGTGTGGTATGAGTGGTGTGTGTGTGGGTGTGTGTGGTGTGAGTGATGTGTGTGTGTGAGTGTGGTGTGTGTGTGTGGTGTGTGAGTGTGTGAGTATGTGTGTGTGTGAGTGGGTGTGTGGGTGTGTGTGGGTGTGTGTCCGTCCCATGCCCATATGTACATACACTAGAGATCCTTGGTGGGTGTCTTCCTTGATCACCACACCCTGTCTTTTGAGACATGGTCTCTCACTGCACCTGGCACTGAGTGATTAGCTAGACTGGCTGTCCAAGGGGATGCACTACTAGGATTACAGAGGGATACCACCATGCCCCCCCAAAAACAGTGCTCCTTATGCTTGTACAGCAGACCCTTTACTGACTGAACCACCCTCACAGACCAAAAGTTTTTCTCTTTAGTTCTGGGGATTGATTGTATTTAGGTTTTTTTTAATACTTTAAAAGTATTTGTAACTTTTAAAGGGCTTCTTTCTTTAGAAGCTTTACTATACTTTGTCCTGAGAGTTAAGTGCTGAGGAACATGTAAGTTAGAGCCTATTATCAATCGAGGAACCTAAAAGGTGACAGAATTCTAAAGCTATCTGGCAGCTGTAGGGGTAGGAAGATAAAAGATTTGACAACATCTTTAAGAACGTCAGCCAAGCAATTCTTGAGTTGTTGAAAGCATAAGTCTGGGAAAGAACACTTAAATAGATACATTTGAACACTGAGCAGCACTGGTTCTTCTGTGTCCTGCTGGCTATTTCACATTTAGTTACAGTTTGGGACCAGCTCAGAGGGTGTGGTACATAGGGACAGAGGCACTTGGGAGCCGGCCTTAGAACCTGAATTCAATTTCCAGATTCTGCCGATTGGTCAGGGGAACCCACTCCCAAGAGTTGTCCTCTGACCTCCACACATGTGCTGTGGCATGCATGCACTTACACACACACATAATTTTAGATAGATAGATAGATAGATAGATAGACAGACAGACAGACAGACAGACAGACAGACAGGTAGACAGACAGACAGACATTGAGGGAATGAGTGTGTGTGTTGTATGTGATACAATATTTGGAGAGGGGTCTATGCCCTGCTGTCCTTGTGTGATATCCCAAAGATTTCCATATACCAGTCTCCTGTCCTCCACCCCCACCAAGATGGCAAACTCCAAATTATTCCTAAAAGAAGTGGACGAGGCATACAGGATGAAAGCAGACTCGTTCATTAGCCTGAGCTCTCTTGTAGGGCCAGTTACTTCCAGAGTGTTTTTTCCTTCTTCTTGGTGTATGTATTTGGTGGGGAGAGTGGAACGCACCAAATGACCTTTCAGTGTGCATGGATATTACGTCATGCTGTCCAGGGGCTGCTTACTCATTCTGTGCTCCTGGCTTATCTGAGTTTTCCCTTTGACTTCCTACTCCTGAATTTCTTCTCTGTTTTCTTCGTCTTACCTCCTTATTACACATGAATCGAGTTTAGCAATGTCTAGAATATGAAATAAGTTATTAGGAAACAATCATATAGTGTGATAGTAACTTGTCCATAAAGGTAGTTTATAGAGTTAGAGAATTTCAACCTAGTAAGAACAGAAACAGGGATCTGTTTGTTCCTGACCTTGGGCTAATCAGCTCTGCAAACCATAAAGGGGGTATGTGAACTGTAAGTTCCTTATGCTGATGCTCTTGAGTGTGAGTATTCAGGGGGGCTGAACTGGAGCCCACAAGTCTTCTTTTCTAATCAGCTCTCCACGCAGTTCCGAACTGGAGGACTTCAAGCCTCACTTGGAAGGCAGAATGCTATGTCGTCTCTTAGATCCCTCTTGTGGTAAGCTCTGTGATCTTAGGCTTCCCTCAGCCACCTGGCTTTGTGCAGAGCCGGAGCTTCCTGGAAGTGCGCTGCTTCATCTGCCATAGGAATAACTAGGGAGGATCTGTCAGTCCGCCTGCCTGGGAAACCCTAAAGCTGAAACCAGTCTTTTGATCAGTGCTTTTATCACTGCTGAGTGGAATTCTGTTTGCTTGAAGTCACTATCTGTTCCTCTACCTCTGCACATAGGATTTCCCTGTACCCAGTTCTCAGTTACTTCGATCTTTCTGAAAGAAGTTGTGAGGCCAAAGCAGAAATTCAGGTGGGCTCATCCCTTTTTAATACATACACGCCAGCTTTAGCATCCAACGAGGGCTTCTGATGCACAGCCTAATGTCGATTTTGTCCTTTGCTGTTTTTCCCTTCCATTACAAAATACCGTCTAATTTGTGTGGTTGCAGTAGCCATCCACTTGCTTTCGAGGTTTCTTCCTCCCACTGACTGTCAGTCTAATGAGTTATTTTTTTCCTAGATGCTTGTACGTCATCGTGTCCTTCCCAGACTGAACTCCATGTACTTTACCATCCATTGTTATAATCTCCATGGACCCACTAATACTGTTTAGCCTCCCGTCTGTCTCTCCTCCCAGCTCCACATTTAGTGTCATCTGAGGCACTTGTTAATATAATGTTTACTCATATTTCTGTGCTGGTAATAAAGCTATTTAGTAAGACCTTTCATACATGCTAGGCTTAGCTAGGCTCGTCAGTGTTTCACGGCTTTATTACAGATCCTTGTCCACCAATATATCCAATGGGGTTAAGGATACAACATCAACAAAGGTTACTTTTTACATTATAATTCACATAGGAAATGCCTCTTCCCAGAAGACACTTTAATGTCCCACCTGAGAGAGAAAGGCTCATTTAGTTGGGACTTTTGAGTACAAGGCTAGTCAGGGTACACTTACATAAGCTTGTTTGCAGATTCTCATTAGGTCTCCCAAGGTCGCAGACAGCTGTGTTTGGATTTGTAGCCTTTGAAAGAATAGGTGCTTGGATAGCTCTCACTTGGCAGCAAGACCTTAGGAAAATAAGAAATTCACATGTGTTGATACGTTCTGAGTACACACCCTAAGTGAGTTACCAAGCAGTGATGTGGTATTTTTAGAAAAAAAAAAGACTATCTTTATCATTTTTTCCTTTGTAATCTGTAAAACAGAAATGCTTACACCTCACTTGAATCTCGTAGGACAACCAGATGTAAAGATAGAAGCTGTCAGCAAGAACGTGCATGGCTGGATACAGCCTCCCAGGAACTTATAGCGGAGAGCTAGTTCAGGGAAATAGGTTTTGAGGTATTGGGAATTCACACAAATAAAGAAAAAAAATAACATAGGTAGAGGATAGAATTGCAAGGTAGGCTTTAATTACAAGATGATACCTTAGAATATGGATAACACAGTGAGATAAATTCCTGAAAAATTACAACTGGAGTTAAGAACATCCAGTTTCTTTTAATTAGACTCTAAAATAGAATGCCAATAGTACAATGGCCTATTACTTTTACCAACAGTATTGAGTTATTCTGTCTAATATAGAATTCAGATTTTTAAAAGATGCTATGTGTTATATGCTGATTTAATAACCATCCTTTATCTCAGAATTTTAGAATACAAACATAATATTGGGAGTATAAAAGCTTAGAATAAATTACTTCTCAGTCTCCAAATAGATTGGAAAATAATTGGTCTTACTAAAATGTGATTCCTACTTTAATCTTGATGTAATTTTTAATATCAACCTATATGTAAACAACAGTTGATTAATCCAGAGCAAAAATAGAAACTTTGTCTATGTTTTTTCTGGCTTGGGTCTAAGACAGAACAATGGCTAGTAACTGCACAACAGCAGTATTACTTTAACTAGGCAAAGATGTGTTATATGTACTTATACTACAGAAGACTACTTTTAACTGTGTAAAGGTGTGTTACGTTTGTTTATGCTGTGTTTATTTAACGAAGTAAGAATGTGTTGCATTTGTTTCGCTTTCCCCTTCTGAGGCACCTGATTGATCTAATAAAAAGTTGAACAGTCAATAGCCCGACAGGAGGGGTATAGGTAGGGCTGGCTGACGGGCAGAGGGAATAAATAGAAGAAATCTAAGCTCAAGAAGAACAAGTAAAGAAGGAGGAAAGAATGAGAGACAGAGAGGGAGACACTCAGGGCCAACCCTGTAGCTGTCAGACAGACAGACAGACAGACAGACAGACAGACAGACAGACAGACAGACAGACAGGAAGAAAAAAACGAAAAAAGAGACCCTGAGGCAAAATGTAGAGGAAGAGAAACAGGATAAATTAATTTTAAGGGCTAGTAGGACAATCATAAGATAAGGCCGAGAATTCATAACTAATATTAAGTCTCATGGTCATGATTTGGGAACTGGTTGGTGGCTTTAAAAAAAGCTTCTACATAGTACACAGTGGACGTTTTAATTCTCTCTTGCTACACAACAAACCATTCTAAAGTGTGATGACTTAAAAGCAACAGCAGGTTATTACTGACTAAGTAGGATCACTAAATAGCTCTTCACTTGGTGTACCAAGCTGTGACATTTGCATGAGATTTCAGTTGAGGTTATAGCATACAGAATAACTCCTCTTCATCAAAAACCTCTCTTCCGTATCCCCTCAACCGTCCACAGTCCAGGGCAGATTTCTTTGCAGCGTGGTGACTGACTTCCCAGAGGCCAGAATCAGAAGTCCCCAGACCTTTCAAGGCTTAAACCCAGAAGCTACAAAAAGAATTTTTTTCTTTTTGACTCTCCACTGGTCAAAGCCATCACAAGTCCAGCCTACACTCAAGAAGAAATAGCTTCATCCCTTCACCCTTCACAAGATGACTTACAAAGATCTTTAATTCATCATAGTTACTTAGGAAATTTTTACTGGTTAGTCATGAAGGTTGCTTTTGAAACTTTTGTGTTCTTTGTTTAATTAAAATGATATTTGTTAGCTGGGCATTGGTGGTGCATACCTTTAGTCCCAGTACTATGGAGTCAGAGGCAAGTGGATCTTTATGAGTTCAAGGCCAGCCTGGTCTACAGAGTGAGTTCCAGGACAGGTTCCAAAGCAATACAGAGAAACCTTGTCTCAAAAAACTAAATGTGTGTGTGTGTGTGTGTGTGTGTGTGTGTGTGTGTGTGTGTGTGTGTGTGTGTGTTATCATTTGTAGAATAGTAGATGTTTGATCTTTGGATTGTTGCTAGATCCCTATCACTTTTAGTAATGAAAACTCCGTATAACTTTATGAAATAAGAAGCTTATTTTTTTCTTTACTGTGAGATTCCATACTTTTATATGAGACTATATGAATTCCCAAAAAATTAGATCTACTTTTTTGAAAAGACTATGAAGAATCCTAGATTTTCAGGTAGGGGGTTACTGTCAATTTATAATTCCTATGTGTTATTTATTATTTTCATGACCTATGACTCCTTGGGAAATGATGCTTGTTGCCAAGCCTGGCCTCAGTTCAACCCCTGCGACCCACAAGGTAGGAAAAGAGAACTGATTCCACAGAGTTTCCCTTTGACCGCTACATGTGTGTCATGGCATGTGCACACCACATCGTCTGTGCAGATAATGTGGAGGGTTCATTCTTTTATTAAAGTATAGTCAACTCACTGAGTGTGGAGGCTCATACCTATGGAGCATTTAATGGAGGCAGAGGCAGGAGGATCTCTGTGAGTTCAAGGATAGCATTGTCTTCTACATACTGAGTTCTAGGGCAGCCAGGACCACAGAGGAGAAACCCCATCTGAAGAGATAGAGAGAGGTGCTATTTATTGCCCTTTTTCTATTGTTACTCCAGAATACCTGAGACTTAAAAAGAACAAGTGCTTATTTTTACTCATTACTGTAAAGACGAGGTATTCCAAGGCTGTGCAGCCAGATCAGATGAGGACCTCAGCTGTTTCAGCTCCTGCAGGAAAGCAGGAGAGAGAAAATGCACAAAATGAGAACAGTGCAAGACTCTTGCAGTAGTTCTTAATCCATTCCCATGATGAAAGACCTTAATCCATTTATAAAGGTTTTCCCCCATAACCCAAATACCCTTCCCTCATTCCCATCCTGACACTGAGGAATTAGGGTTCCAATGCATGCGCTAAAACCATGGCGTATGGACGAAACCATCTGTATCAAAGATTCCCTCAAAGAAGAGTGGCTTGGGGGAGATGGATCAAGAATTTACAATGTGAGAACTTAAGCTCACCGCAAATAATTAACTGTCCCAACTGTGAGTCTTTGCAGGCCCCTTTCATTTTTATCCCTGCTGAGGTATGCCAGCTATTGTTCTTTAAGCTTGCACATGCTGGCTTAGGGGGAGGAAAGTGTTGCTCTGACTTCCCCTGTGTCCTTTTATAGAGGGGTTCTCAAACTTTACTGACCATGAAAATCACCCAAGGAATGCCAATGTTCTGGTGCCTTAAAGTCGTCATGAGCATTTCCAGTTACATAGTTGGAGAGTTTTATAGTTTGGATCTGAAATGGACCCTGAAGACCCATGGGTCAAAGACTCAGTTGCCAGCTGCTTAGCTTTTGAAAAGTGATTGGATCATGAGTGCTGGCCTCAGTGAATTAGTCTATAGATGAATTCATAATTTGACACCATTTCCACAAGTGGTAGAAATGAGTAGGTAGGGCCTCAAATGAGTGAGACCTAGTGGGCCATGCCTTGAAAGAGTGGATTTTGCCCCTGGTGTCCCTCTCTCTACTTTCTAGAAGTCTGTCAGTGGGCATCTCCCCAGTGGGCATCTCCCCACCGTGCTTTCCAGACATAATGCTCTGCTTCACACAGGCCACAGAAATGACTATGAATAGAAACCTCTCGAACAATGTATCAAAAGAAATCCTTCTGCTTGTGTTTTTTTGTTTTGTTTTTGTTTTTCTCCTCAAATATCTTGGAAGGTTGGCAAATATGTGGCTTCTCTATCTTTTCAATTTTACTATAAATAATGATTTAGCGAGCCTGTATGAGCTGGTTTCAAAGGAATTGCTCTAGTAATCATAAGCCAAGCATATACACTTCTCCCCAAACGGGACCACTCATCAAAGGCCTATGTATGTCTTATCTGGTGAAATATTCCAAATTGGAGCAAGCCTTCCAGCTCCAGAGCAAGTAAGGAACTGAAGGCCGAGAGATGGCTCAGTGGCAGCATGCTCGCCTAGCAAGTGAGGTCCCAGGTTCTAGCTCCAGAACCACAAAACGACACAAACCCAACATCACTCTCTTACTGGCCAGGAATTACAGAAATTTGAGTTGTTTAATTAATTGCTTTCTTACAGAATGAGTTCTCTATGTCATGTTTACTGCTGTTCCACAGAGCACTTTGTGTTCAGTTTATGTACTTGAAAGCCTAACCATATTCTCCGAAAACCCAATATCACAATCTTGGAAAGGTTTTCATAATGTTACTTTCTCAACAGTAGACTCTTAATGGAATCTGATTGTGCCTGACAGACCTTACTGTCTATATGTGTTCGCATGCTAGTGCCTCTTTGGGTAGCATGCAGGTTACAGCCTCCTTTATATCTGAGATCTTGTGGCTTAGCCCCCTTAAGGTCTATATGCTGTGGGCTTTGACTTTATTAGAGTGACAACTACAGAAAGTTTTCTAGGAAGTGAGTCTTTTGTGTGCATTAATATGAGTAAATAATAGAATGGTCGCAGGGAGAGTTAAGGTGTCTTGCTATATTACATTGTTTCTGTTATTTTTATAATTAAATCTTAGTTGTTTTCTACATGTGCACATGCTAGATGAGACTTAGTTACAAGGTTGTCCAGTGTTGTAGCATGTTTAGCAAGATACCAGCCTCTGTTTGGTAAATGCCATTTTGCTGGCACTAAGTGTCTCCAGACACTACTAAATGCAAAATCACATAAAACACTGAGAAACACTTGTTTGGGAGTGTGAACAATATCGTACATTAGACTTCCTGATGAACTGTACCAGTTTCCTAGGACCGGTCCTCCCCATTGTCCAGTCAGTGCTCTTAAGGCTCTGAAGTGCTGTTAGAC